GAGCCCTCGCATTGCCTACCCGCCAGGCGCTCACCTGCTGCGGGGTCGCCTTGTGGGACGGCGCCTCCGCCTCGCTCTGGGTAGGCGTCACGAGATCGCTGCCGGAACTGGGCTGGGACTGGAAATGCAGTGACAAGTGTGATCACTGTTAAAAGTGCTTGTAAGCGTTACAGGAAAAATGATAAGTTTTAAAATAATGCCAATTTCGAAAATTACAAGTTTTTCGCTTAGTCTTGGTATTTATTAACAAGCAGAAATGTGCCGTCGAAAAGTTACATATTTTGTGATATGTTAACACAAAATATGTTGGAAATTAACGAAAACATCTCTTTTACAGCGGATTAATGGCAATTAAAAAAATAACTTGCAACTGTCAGATTTCTTAAGTAAGAATTGAAGGTGAAAAAGGAATATTTCCGAAATGTTTTTTTTAAACAATGTATTCTATGATGGAATGAACGCTGCGGATTACCTGAACAGGGCTTTGGTAATTTCCAGTGAGAGTCAGATTATTGGATCCAGTTGTCACGCCCCGCTCACATACCGGCCTGCTGTCGGTGTGGAACAGAAAGTCATGCATCAGAACAGACAGAATCAAGAGCGCGCGTGTTATATTTTAGTACACTTCGTGTAAACCCCTTTTAGTAATAACTCTTATCGGTAGTTGATAGTTTATTTCCACGAATACTATTTCTTTATGTACGCGTTTGTTGTGCGACAGAGGCCCACAAAAGGGATTGGGGCGAGTGCAGCCGTTACTGATCGCTCTGCTGTTGATCCCCCCCGCCTCGACACACCACCGCGCCACCTGGCCCCAAAGAGGCTTTCCTTCCGCAGAGTCACCGCAACCGGGCGTGGCGGCTCGGGGCGGGGCGGAGCTGGCGACATCGCCCTCCGGTCCGGTGGCGTCGGCCCACTCTTGTTGAGGAAGGGAGCCCACCACCACACCCTTCGGCCCGGCAGCGAGCAATCTTTCCGTTGCGCCGCGCCCCGCCACGCCACGCCCAGGCTTGGCTTGCCTCTTGCGGGAGGGGTCTTTGGGCAATCGGATGGAAGCCCCCCAAGCCACAGGCCCGAGGACCCGGACAGGACCAAGGACCCAGGGATCCCGCCCGCGGCGCTGCGCCCCCCCCCCCCTCTCGGACCGGTGTGGCACGGCCTATTGGCGTTTCCCCCTTTATCCGACGGCTCACTCAATCAAACGGTTCGCTCACTCTTACCGAGCCCCTTCCGCGCAATTATGTTTGTTCTTTGCACTCCTCCGCTCTCTCTCTCTCTCCCTCTCTCTCTCGCTCTCTCCCCCTCGCTCTCGCTCTCTATCCGTCTCTTTCGCTCGCACACCGCACACCACGCAAAAGTATTTGGGGGCAAATATTTTGTTGTAAATAAATCCGACACATTTTATAGATCATTTTGACGCCTACAATAAATTTCCTTTCAATTTTTTTTTAATGAATTAAAAAATAAATTAATTAATTAATTTATCGTCGTTACATTAATTAAGTGTGCCCCTGAGCCGTCTTTTCATACCTCAGATTCGTTGGCAACTGCTGCGTTCGGTCTTCCCGTACGTCGGCGCGCGCGAGTCCCTGGGTGCCCCCTTGGGTTCCCCCCTGGGTGCCCCCCTGGGTGCCCCCTTGGGTTCCCCCCTGGGTGCCCCCCTGGGTGCCCCCCTGGGTGCCCCCCTGGGCGACCCCCGGTGGCCCGCGGGCCTCGTGGGCGCACTGGCAGAACGAGTGGTGGGCGCCGTACAGGTAGCCGACCGGGGAGCCGGCGACCGCGGCCTCGCCCGCCCGCCCGTCCCCGAGGAAGTCCTCCAGGTGCTGCCGGGACGCCGGGCCCGCCGCCACGGCCTGGGGGCCCGGGCTGGGCGCCGGGCTGGGCCCGCCTGCACACACAAACACCAATAGAATAAAAGAAAAAACGTTTCAAAGAAAAAAGGTTTGAAAGTTTAAAACTCTTCTTTATTGGGCCCGTGTGAAGCGAGACTGGGCGGCTGACGCCTGCGGATCGCGGGGTAGGCCAGCCCGCTGCACACGGCTGTCCGCCCCCTGTCTCGCGTTGCCTACCCGCCAGGCGCTCCCGCCTGGTGGTTCAAGCTGTGAGGTGGGGTGTGTTGCCAAATAAAGTATTGGTAAACTCCCCACGCGCGCACTAGGTGTTAAGTGTGTTGCGTCTAGAGACTGCAGACTGCCCACGAGAATATTCAACGCCTCAGTACAGGGTACAGGTGCAGTGGCCCGGGAAGTCAAGCCGTAGATGTAGTATTGCTTCAGCGATTGGTAACCTTGCGTTTGTGCTCTGGTTCGGTTTGTCAGAAAAACGCAATGCCACTTTTTTCCGACTATGAGGAATGTTGCTTCGAATAACTGATATTTGATAAACTCGGAAGGGCAAGTGTCGACGAGGACAACTACTTTCCCCCCGTATATTAGTTTACTTCCGCGAGGCACCGCCGAAAATCCCTCGGTTGAAAAGGAGCCCAACGTGAGGTGCCATCATGGCGGTGTCCTTGGGGCGTCCTTAGGGTTTGTCCTTTGGCAGCAGCGGCCGCACCGTGCGGATCCCTTGAACGGTCCCCGGCGGCCAGGGGGGGAAGGCCCTGGGGCGTTGGGGCCCCCAAGGGGGAGGGGAGGGC